TGTCATCATTTCTATGGAATGGATGTCTTGCAAAATTGTTTATGAATTACGTACCTAAACTAGTAGGCATGACACGATTTTGAAAAGCTCGCAAGTGATATGCTTGAAACAAGAGTTTTTCCTAATAGTTTTATGTTTGGATAAAAAACTAGATCTAATGATTTCATATGTCCTTGAAATTTTTACATTGCGTAAAGGGCATCTTAAGCTTTATAATAAGTTTTATTGTTGATATATCCACCCTTGATGTTTTAGACTCAAAGATAAGCCCACATTAAGGAATGAAGCTTTATCAAAATATAAAGGAAGTATAAGTTCTTAAGTGTAATTTAGGTGGGCATTTAAGCGTAATATTTCCCTCATCCTAAATTGTGGAGAAAGTGGTTATATTCAGGTATGAAAACCACTTATAGAATGGGAGTCATACATGAGACGCATGAAACCATATTAGAAATATTTTTGTAAAATCTCCACAATGGAAAACTCTCTAAGTTCTCCTCTCTTCTTCTCTCCCTGTGGTGTATTTGCTGTGAACCAGAAATTGAGTTCATATAACCCCATTCCTGCATAAAGGCATTGTCTACTGCAATTTAAGGTACACTTTCGGACTTCTTTGATCTACACTTATATCAAGGTGATCAAACATATGTATCATGAGACACACAATTATAAAGCTAAGGAAAGAAAACTGGAATAAGTGAAGTAAGTAAATTGAGCCATTGTTTTTCATAACAAATTACATTTATTGGGACAAAGAAAATTCTATTTAGGATTTTTCTAATATGGTAGACTGAACAAGCTTTTAAAAGAGCTAAGGGTCACATAAATATTAGTTGTGTAGAATTAATGGTGAATTTTCAAAGTAGACCTATACATTCTAGAATTAGTTTTGTGATCTAAGTATCCGACATTTATGAGTAAACTGCATCAATTGGGCTAATCTAAGTTCTATTTCATATTTTTATTCCTAAAGTATGCATCTCAAGATTTCAAACAAGTCCAAGATCTCATTATTTCAATCTCTATAACTCTATATATGAATTTTGCAAGATAGGACATTGAAATATGGCTCCAGTTAGTAGTTATAAAGATTTATTAAACTATATCAATAGGGAAAGCTAATGTCATGTTTAATAATTTTCTCTCATAAAGAATGTCCTAATATTTCCTCAAAGTAAGAGATCACGTCAATTGGAGCTTTATAACATGAGATATGAATTTCAAAATGAAAATAATGAATAAGACTAGTAGGGGCTGTAACCTTCCCCAATATCCATCAGGTACAAGAGAAGATTAATTAAATCACCACATAATAAATGAACACTTTATTTGAAAAGCTTAGGCCCAATACTCGTTTGCAAAATCATCATAATCATAATACATTCAAGCAATGCACAGTAGAAATAACCCATATGCATTCATAACACTAATTGCATGCATCAAAAATCACAAAATCAGGTTGGATAATAGGCCATGAGTTGCGGCGTGTAACACATGCACTATGGTAGGTGGCACAGAGCCACATGCCTGACCTTCTCTATGTCATGCACCGTGGCATGAGACATATATGCCATGGCACATAAGTTTGAATTTGCTTCTATCATTTAACAGCACAAATGACAAACTTTTAGCATGCGCCGTTTTCACATATGACGTTCAATCGGAGTGATTCAAGCGCTCACACAAAGCTTATCTCATAAGCTAGCTAATGAGATAGTTTTGGACATGATCTAAGGGTCCGATCAAAATTTAAACACCCAGGTACAAAAAATCATTTTTTTCTAAAAATTTCAGGCATCTAAGGACTCAAATCAGTCCCTTAATTTTATTAGACCATTCTAGGCCTTGAACCAAGTTTGAAAAGACATATTATACCTAATTGACCATAATATACAACATATATACACATATATTAAAATTTGGCATTTCAACAGCCAATTTTCACAAAACATAAATTTGCACAATTTGTTACTATTTGGCCTACTTGGCTTTTTCACTGCAAATTCACATATATTCACGTTTACCATATGGTCATCACTAAATCTTAGCCCATGCCATTCATTTCACCACATATTGTCACACATAGTCTAAGATTTATCAAAATCTATAACATTCACCACAATCTCTACAATTTTTCTATTTCACTACTCAAAACATGCATGCAACCTCTATGGCAACTTATATGCACAAGATTCACACTAAATTAGTTTATTACACAAACTCAGAGCTTCCACATGACCACAGTACCACTATACCAATTCAGACCCTTTTCTCTTGCCTTGATCATTGCTCTGTCCTATAAACATGTAACCACAAGAGTGAGATAACAATCTTAGTAACGGAATAACTCATTACTATTGACTATCACATGTAACTGTATGAAAGTAAATTATAATATATCATTTAACATATCATAAGCAAATGTTTCATTTCAAATCACCACAACATATGTCAATTCACTCTTTTTTCACTTATTTTTCACTTTTTCACATATAGCATGATCATTTTCGACCAAACCTTCAAATCACCTTGACTTGAAACCATAGGCTCGCCTTAGACTAGTATACACTCTTATTGGCCCTGAGCTTACCTTAATGGTAGAATCATTTAGCCAAAGGTATTTTATCTCACTTATGAACTATGGTTTCTCCCAATGCACACAATGAGGTGTTGTTAACTCTAACATCATATCACACAAATACTAAGGGTCTAAATAGCCAACACCGCACCTCAATAGACATTAAGGAGATAATCTCCAACACCACACCTCAAAAGGCACTAAAGAGACACAATTCTCCAACACTGTACCTCGTTGGGTACTAAGGATAATATGTCATATGGTTTTATCATCACACTCTATACTGGTGAACTCCCACCCCTATAATCATGCTCTTCGAATCAATCATAGGTTCCGCACTCATACCTATCTCTACACCACATAGCACATATATATATATACACATATGTAAAGTATACAATTACCTATTTTCACTTATTTATTTGATCAAAGGCCATTTCCATACAACATTCACATAATGCCATAAAATGCTCTTAGATTAAAAACAATATCATGTACTAGATAGCACACTCACACGCAATTACAATAAATAGACAAACAGAGAAAGTTATTTGGTTACCTCAACCCTTTTGTCACTAGAAAGGTTACTCGTGGATTTCAACTACCACTATAGTTCGTCACAAGCATCCTTTCTCAACTCACACGTGTGTTATGCCAATCTACACCCAATTGGAACAATTTAGTCAATTGGCTCAATTGACCAAAAATACTTGATTATTACTTATGGCTATAGTTAGCTGTCTATTCTTTTTTACTTATCAAATCTAGGTTCATTACTACTAAATTGCTACTTTATATCACTTCAAATGATCTCAACTTGGCTAAACACGATTTTCACCTCAAAATCTCATTGAATTAAGGCCAAATTTAGCCTACGGGTTCAAAGCTCTATTGTTAAGTTCTAAGCCAGTCATAAAGCTCTAATTTAACTCCTGAAAAGCCTTTTATTACTATTGAGTAAGAATTAAACCCCTTAAATTTCATCAATTCAATTTCTCTATAATTCATATTTAGAAAAATTTGGATAAAATGAAAGGTAAGAGTTATAAGTAGCTTACTTGATAAGTTATTAATCAGAAGTGCCTTCTAATGCTCAAAAAGGCTTGGCCTATTACACTTCAGCTTCCTCTCCTCTCCTTCTCGTGTGTTTCTGATTTTCCTCTTTTGAAATCACCCTAATTTCACAACTTAAAAGGGTCATTTTCTAATTCATGAGCTGTGGCACATAAAATACTAGCCATAGTGCTAGGCACAGTGAGAAGAATTCTCACTGCGCGCACTTGCTTCGACCTAAAATGCGATCCTTCCATCCGTATCTATTCATTTATCATCCCAAAGACACAAAGCATCAACTAATCATCCAAATCTCTAATCATTTACTAATTACCACTTTATCCTTGATTAACAACTAATTACAGAATTAGAAAATCAGGATGTTATAGAGGCAAAATAGAAAAGTTCATTTAAACAAATAAACTGTAATGAGTAAAATAGTCAAAGTTTAATTTATAATTTTTCTTATATAAAGGATTGTTATATCCATGGTTTGCAAAACAAGACCAAACTGGCCAGTCAAACTAGTGAATAGATCATGTGTCTGGTTTTCAGTACCTTGATTATATTTTTAAAAGAAAACAAGAATAAATTAAATTTGATATTTTTAGAATAAGTTATGAATTTTTAAAGTTAATCTAAATTTCTAAAAATATCAAGTTAAAGTAAAATTAGATTGAATTTGAATTTTAAAGTATTTTTTGTCTCTATGGAACTTAAGATAGCTTGCATTGCCAAATAATGGTTTCTAAAGTAGATTGTTGCACTTATCCACCCAATGTCGATAGAGGGTGATGTGGAAGGTAAAAGCCATAGGTGATTAGAGCTTCTTTGCTTTTGAAGGGGTGAGCAGACAACTTGTAACTTGCCGAATCTGTCTGTACCTGTTACAAATGGCTGGGTTAAAATCTGCCCATAAAAGAGAAAAAATGGGTGGGCTATAATTATGGGCTACCCTGTATTTAATGCAAAGGGGCAGGACAAGCTATAGGTTACTCTTTGGCTTGCCTGTCCTTGCCTGTTTAGGTGTCTGCACTTTTACAAAAGATGTAAGGCCAATTATGACGAATAAGACCTTAACATCAAACGCGATAATTAACGCGACCTCAAAAGGTCGTTCCATCAGTACCTTGCTATTATTGTAAGATATCCTCTCAGGGGGTCTGGATTAGTCTGAGACGAGCAATGAACTCAAATACTCTAGGATATCGAATGGTTTATATAAAAAAACAAAAACAAAAATGAAGTGTGTGTGGGGTGGACACGCTGCGTTTGAGCCTTTTAGAGTTTTATTCCCAAACCAAAAAAATAAAAATTCAAAAAAGTTGAAAACCCTCGGTCCCTGATCCCTCGCTTCTTCAGTCTTTAATTCTTGGTCGTGAAACCTGTTGCCCCTGTTCGCTTCTTGGCTCTCTGTCGCCCCAGGCGCTACCTCGCTCTGTCTCTTATCTCAGTCTCAGTCTCTCTGTTCGCTCGCTGTCGCTGCCTCGCTGGCCGCTGGCCGCTGGCCGCTGGTGCACTCTGTCTCCCATCTCATTCTCGGTCTCTCTTCGCACGGCGCAAGCTCGGCGCTAGCTCAGACAGGCTCACGGTGCTCGCTCGGTCAGACCAAGTCCCACAGCATAGAGTCACAGACCCAGTCCCTTTCGATCTCGTCTCTCAACTCTCCTAGCGTCGCCCTTGTTTCTCCTTTTTCCTGCTCGACTCGTGCGCTTCTTCCTGCCAAGGCCAGGTAAGTTAACTATTTACTTTGTAGCGATGACTCTCTGCCTCTGCTCTGCACTTTGGTGACTGTAGTCTGTATGAGTATGATTGTAATTATTTTTGAATCTGATTACCTCATTACTCCACACACACGCACACACCTTTATCTTTACTGCTGTTGAGTTATGTGAACAAAATTAAGCAGATTCATTAATTATGTGAACAAAATTAAGTAGATTCATTTATTATAAGATAATTTGAAACATACTACTTTGATTCAAGACTTGTACTGCTGTTGGCTGATCTTAATCAATCTTCTAATCTTAATATGCTTAAATTTAAGACTTGTGCTTTGATTTAATTAATTAGTGGAGCATTGACTACTGGGATGATACTGCTGCATTTGGCCATTTGTGGATGAACTTGGAAGAATTATAAGTGTGGAATGTTTTTTTTTTTTTTTTAGGGATAAAAGGGGGCTGTTGGTCCAACATAGGGCCGGTCATTTGGATGGGTTGAATTTATTCGGGCATAGCTCAATTCAGGCCGTACTTATTCGGATTAGGTTTAAAGTATCATGCCCTCTTAAAAAAGCCTATATAGTTAAGTCTGACTTTATTTATTGGTTGGGTTTGAGCTGGCCTGTTGGACTTGGCTAAAATTACCAACTTTATATACATAGAGTTAGAAATTCAAGTGGTTGGGCTTATTCGAGCCAGGCTTAAAGTATTCTATCCTCTTTAAAAGGTCATATATCCAAGTGCACTCCTAAATTTTTTTTTTTTGGTGGGTTCGGGCTAGCCTGTAAAGCTTGGCCTGAATTACTGACTTTAGTTCAAAACCGGCTGGTTAGCTTGCCCAAACTTGTTTGTGGCCCCTTGCCTGTTTTGGACAAAACAGGATGGGCCATAGGCAGCTCTATGGGCCAGCTCATCCTGCATGTTGCACAGTCCTGAAAATAAGCACGCAAATGGTGCCTTAGTCTTCACTGCTTCTGACCCTTGACTCTCACATGCATACTCGTTGAACCTTGTCTTGCTATGTGTTGTATCACTGTCCAGCCTTTTCCTCTTTCTCCGCCACCTCATCTCTTGCCACCACTCGAATAGCTGTCCGCTGTGAGTTTGCCACTGTGATTTGTTGCTCGTGGTGCTTATTCTCTGTCACAGCCACGTGTTATACGCCCCTTCCTTTTCACCTCACAGACAAACACCAGCAGCATCTCCTTTCTTTCCTTGTCTTCGCTTAATCGCAGGTTTGCTTCCTTTTTTCTCCTTTCTCTTCATTTTCTATAGAGGGTTTTGACGGTTACAGCTTTAGGGTTTATTAGGAGATTTGTTACCAATTATTATGTTTTAGGTAATTTCTTTTGATTTTCTTTTTGTCGTCGCTGTTATTTTCTGCTATCATTGATGTTGAATCATGGATTGCCTTTGTAGTCTTTACCTTTGTAATACTTTGCCTTTTGTTACTGATGCTTTTGAGTCATGGGTACCTATTGTCTCTGTTCAATTATCATCATGGGTTGTTCATTTCTGCTGCTTTGCTATTATACTTCGTTTGAGTCCTCACTTGCTTCTCTTTTCCATTCTGATTTTGATGCATCTGCCTTTCTAGGTTAATGAATTGTTGTCCCTTTTATGCTAAGTACCGGTATCTAGCCCAAAAGAGTATAATAATAACAAAACTAAATTTAATCTCTCCAAGTACGAGTCTTTGTTGTTATCACTGCAAAATTCCATGTGTTACCGTGAAGAATTCATCTATGTTATCTTATGCCAGCAAAATCTGAGTTCTGTAATTATGTTTAGCATGCTTATCTGCGTTTGTCATCATCTCAATCATGTACTTTGGAATTAATAGAAATTTAATTGAACTATTAGAGTCAAATATAGCATTAGGATTGTAAGAAACTTTAGACCAAAATTCGTACTGTATTACCTGAGTGGTGAGCAATCCTATATCATGTCCTCTCTTTCCTGGTGGAGTTGAACAATGAGGAACCAGAAGTGAGGAAAATGTAGCTCTAATTTTCTTCATCTGGGTCTGGCAGTGCATGTTAGAAATTTAGCTTGGAATTCATGGGTTCTGGCTTCAAAAGCGTCACTTTTTATTAGAATTGTCTTATGGAAAGAAAAAGAATGAGTAGTAATTCCTGTTGATATGTTTTTATTGTTTAAAATTTCTCCATTTTCCTTTAGTTTTTTAGATTTGAAACTTTAGAATTATGACTTTTATTTTAACACCTTACAAGTTATGCCTGTGAATGGTGTCAGAGAAATGAAAGCGCATACTGCTTTTAAGATTGGAGCTTATACTAGGATGGACTAGTGCCTTTATTTTCATTATTTCTAGTGTTCTTGTTTGCTTGCTTCATTTTCCTTTATTTGTCTAGATTCGGGAATTGAGAGAGATGATTTCCATTCTAATTTTTATGAAATAATGCAATGCATGGAATTTTGATAGTTTATTGTTTGCAAGAATCAGGTTTAATGTTTTGCTCCTAAAAATGAAAAACAGGATAATGTTAAATGAATATGTTGGTTTGAGAGGCTTGAAGCCTATATAAGGCTTTCAAGGCCTAAGCCTATAAGCCTATTCATTTAAAAACCTTTGGGAGGCTCAAACCAATTTTGATAGTTTATTGTTTGCCAGAATCAGGTTTAATGTTTTGCTCCTAAAAATGAAAAATAGAATAAGTTTGACGAATATGCTGGTTTTAAGAGGCTTAAAGCCTATATAAGGCTTTTAAGGCCTAAGCCTATAAGCCTATTCATCTAAAAACCTTTGGTAGACTCAAACCAAAAAAAGTTTTTTTTTTTTTTTTAATGCTGTGAGTCAGGCTTAGGCTAGAGGCTTACCTTGTAAGCTCAGGCCTATTTGGCCAAAGTCTATCCTGATCAATTTCCATCCCTAGTCTTGATCTAGGATTTCCTAATCTTTTAATTTTGAAATTGATAGGATCCAAGATAGGTAGTGAAAAATAAAGAAGATAAATCTCTATTAACGTATGAAATCAAAATAAAATTCATAGTATTAATAAGAGAACATAGAACTGATAGAAGAAAATAGAAGAAATAAATCTATCAAGATGATATAGGACAAGAATCTCATTTTATATTTTTTTCAATAGCCACGCTTGGGAGAACCTTTAAACTTCAAAGGGCCAAAAGTCTCAAAAGCTTGTTTTATTCATGATATGCCTACTTTTGAGTTGGTAAGCATATTTATAATGCTAAATATAATTTAAAATAATGAATAAAGTATAGATAACTAAATAATTAAATGAAATTAATAAAATCTCCTAGAATCTATATCTATATAAACAACAAACAAACAACAACAAGCCTTTATCCCACTAGAATCTATATCTATATAAAATACTAAATAAAATCTAAAGAACTAAATATTTGAATAAAATCTAAATAACTAGGTAAAACCTAAATGAATGGATATCTAAATAGAATCTCTCCTAAAATCTCTAAAAAATAATTCAAAATTCAAAATAACAATAATTAAATAAAATTCAATTCAACGGACTCTTATAAGAAATAGTATGAATTCTTTGTTTTAGTCTACCATCATCAATCTGCCTCTCAAGGAAGGTTTACATGATTTTTGTAAAATAAAAAGGGATCTTATAATTAACTCATTAAAATGGTGAGGAGTATATCTCGTTAAATTCCCATATGTCTTTTTCCCCTTTTCGTCTTCCCAAAAGAATAATCTTGATAAATATTTCTTAAGCTTGGTCACAAGCTAATATGATTGATTTCTTCTTTTAGGGGTTATAGAGTCTTTATCTTATACTTACTGGAAATCTAGGAAGGAAGAGTCCAAGAGGGAACTTCTGTGTAGGGTGCAATGACAACTCGAATAGCACCTGGTGTCGGAGCAAACTTGCTGGGTCAACACTCTGCAGAGAGGAATCAAGATGCTACCGCTTATGTTGGCAATCTCGATCCCCAGGTTCTTGTATCGCCTTCCTCTTTTTGCTTCTTTGATGCTTTGGTTCTTATGTCATATAGCTCCTATTTACCTAATCTTGTTATGTCGCTCTCTTGTGGTTGTGGATGTTGCTCCCCCCCAAATTAAGGAGGCTGAGTTGAGGTCTTAGCAATTTTAGACTTTTATTTTGAGATACTGTGAAGCGAACAATTTTTTGGTTATTTTGAAGCTGATGAAGGTGGCTAGAAACTGATTCGTCACTTCAATTGAAATTATCTTGTCAGAAATTAACATTAACTTTTGATTAAGGACGGGCATGAAAGGAATGGCTAGGGTTTGTAGCAATGATGTAGTAAGAGGACAAGGATTGATTTCTGGTTGTATGAATTCTGGAATTTACAATGAGTTCTGGGTAATCCTAAGAGAGATGCCTTTTTTAATAGAAGACTCTCAATTTTAGAAATGAATTTTCAGGCAAGACTCATGCACTAATTTTTGAAATCGTACACTGATGTTCTACACTTGTTCTATTAGGGAAGAACCTTTACATACGAGGAGCTTTTACCTGCTCATATGTCTTGACAACTGTGAAGTCATTGTGAATGACCTAATGCTTATATACCTTCTAGCAGTCCAGCTGCATGTCTTTGACCTCATCCAGCTAAAACAATTTTTGTGACTTATTTTTCTTTTTCTCCCTTTTGTTTTCTTGAAGTTTATATTATGTCTAGCCGCATTAAGTCAATAACTAACTGAATTTCTTCAACACTAATTATCAGGTAACTGAGGAGTTATTATGGGAGCTATTTGTTCAGGCAGGTCCAGTTGGTATGTCTGGTTTTCCTTTGTATTATTCAATCATTTTATTTAAATGTTGATATTCCTTACCATTTTGTTATGAAACTAGCATATTATAATTGTAGACAAACTTTTAGAAGTACCATCATTCTGTTTGTGCTGTTTTGTGTGGTCCATTTTTTATTGCTTCTAATATGATATATGCTTTCCTTTAATTAATACCCTCTTCAGTTTTTAGGCTATTTTAGTTATTTATGTACTGCTAAAAGATAGGTCTGCTATTCACTTCTCTTGTCCTTCATGAAGTGAAGGATGTTATTTTGCTTACTCCTAGTTTGGAAGTTTATTTCACTGAGACCTTAAATTAGATTCTAATCTTCTGCACTCTAGCTTGTGTTCCAATAATAAAGATTTCTTGCATTATGAATGTGCTTCATTATATTGTTTTCTTTTTAAACTTTTGTTGATCCTTTGTGATTCAATCTGTATTTTTCCTCCTTTACTTTATTTCAGTTAATGTCTATGTTCCCAAAGACAGAGTGACTAACCAACATCAAGGTTATGGTTTTGTTGAATTCCGGAGTGAAGAAGATGCTGACTATGTGAGTGTTCAAGTTCTATAGTCTTGTCTTTGCTTGTTTGTTGTGCAAGTTGCATCCACTCATGCCACTCGCTGCTCACTAATGTTTGGATATTTGTCATTGTTGTTACCTTTCATTATTACAGGCCATCAAGGTGCTTAATATGATTAAGCTTTATGGAAAACCAATACGTGTAAATAAGGTATGAAGCTTATTCTGTGATTTCATGTTTCCTTCTATCTTCCCTTGTGTGCTCTGTGCTATATTTGCATCAGTTAGTATCATTAATCGAATTGCTTTTCCTATGTTTTTGTATTCTGTATTTGAATTGTATATATTTGGGACTTTAAGAAAATTTGGTTATGAATGAAAGTATCTGGTTTAAGAGAAGGTATTGAGACATGTCTGTCATTGTACTGAAAAATAGAGTTCAAATTACAAAAAAAGTTTGGATACAGATGGGTCCTATGAGCCTGATGCCTAAATACATAATCTGCATTGTAGAAATACATTGCACCTTTCGCAGTAATAGTTACATTCTGAACTCAATTTTGGGACAGACTGGTATGATAAACCCGCCTAGTATGCCAAAAATGTATTCTATTTGTCAGAATATAGGAAATAAATTCTAGACCGGACATATTTCAGATTAGAAGTAAGCATATGTGTGATACAGATTGAACACATTCTGGACACTTTAGACAATCTATTTTATTGCAATCATTTTTTTTTTCATTTAATTCAGTTATCTATGTAATAAATACAATTGTATAATTTTGTAATTCTATTGCCTGTAGCTGCTCTCTGATGTTTGCGCTTTTATTTATGTTACTGCGTTTTGTCATTCAAAGTTTCAAATGGTGAACAAGAATGTGGTTAAGCATTAATCATAATTTGTATAGTGGATATTCTCACTTTGGATCTGTTTATAGATCTGAAGTACTTTTATGGTTCTTTGAATTCATCTGTGTGCCATTCCATAATCATCAATCTTATGATTATGATTTTCTTGTCCCCAAAATAGTAATCACTTTTATATACACATGTTTCTTTGTTTTGAAAGCTTTGTCATACATGCATGTAGTTGATACAGCCTTTTTTGGTGTTTGTGTAACTTTAGTTGTGTTACTGAGTGCCTGTACATGAGTCATGTTGTATTTGCATCTCATTTTGACATCCTTCTTGTGTAAAAGTTTGATTCAGCTTTCTCTCTTTGTTTTGTTTTGTTTTTTTGTTTTTTTTTTTGGTTTTAGGCTTCCCAAGATAAAAAGAGCTTGGATGTGGGAGCAAACCTTTTTATTGGAAACCTTGATCCTGTAAGTCACATATTTTGCAGTTGTTGAACGAGTCCTGACATGTTGAACTTTGATATCTAACCTTTCAGTGGGTCCTTTTATTTCAGGATGTGGATGAGAAACTCTTGTATGACACATTCAGTGCCTTTGGAGTGATTGTTACAAATCCCAAGGTTATGCTCTTTAAATCTTTCATTGCTTTTTATTGCACCTTGCTTATATCATTTTAAAAAGTATATCCAACAGCTAGCATTTACTTTCCGTACTTCTTCCTTTTCTTTTCTATAGTTCTTCATTGTAGCATTAATGTTTGTTTATATAAAAAGAATTGTAGTGTTGGGTTTGCTAAATAACCATTTATTCACTTTCTTTTCTGAGAACTGCCTTGTTTATCTTTTTGTGTCCTTTAAATATGCTACCTCATGACGTTTGGATACTTATGGGATACAAAATATGTAATGTTGTGTGCGATATGAAGTATTGTATTGCTTTTGATACGAGTCTCAGACGTGCTGGACATGATTGAAGCATCATTTTTAAAGTATTAATGCCTTACAGAGCTGTCCCAAGGTATCCTCATATAGATCAATTGATTGCTTGAACACTTAAAGGCTTTTTGGAATGAAATGGAATAGAAAATAATAAATGAAGAATTGCAACTTCTGTGGATAAAAAATATCTTTTGTGCTTGTGAACAAAAATAATTAAAAAATAGCTTTTGTTTGGTAATAATAATAAATAATAGATGTTTCATATTTTGTGCAATAAATATTCCTTTCACCGTGCTCTTAGAAAATGGGGCATTAGTGTTGAATGAGATTTAGGTAAAAGCTTTATCAAACCGGCATGGTTTGTCATCTGCTAGAGTTTCACTGATCATTCTTTGGAAATTTTCAACGTTTTTTTGTAGTTAACATGAACATGTGTAAATTTTGCTATGATTTCAAATTTTGAATTTAACTTGGTACATTATTTATATCATTTGGTTATACCCTCCATCATTAGAGAGCGAGTTTTCTAGAAATGAGCATATATTGTGACGATGCTTATAATTCATTTTGAAGATCATGAGAGATCCTGAAACTGGAAATTCCCGTGGATTTGGCTTCATTAGCTATGATTCATTTGAGGCATCGGATTCAGCCATTGAGGTACGCAATTGTTGATTGATTGATGATATTTCTATATACGTCTCTGGTTTGTGAATCATAAACTTCTATTCCTGCTTAAATAAAATAGTATACAGTTTCAGGTTTGTTTTACTGTGGCTGGCAACAGTCCACCATTTACTTCATATGCTGCTTGTAATTCGTTTTGGTATTTTTGGCATTGCATCTCAAGTTACAAAATGTTGAACACACTGTTGACTATGAAATATTGGATGGGAAAACTTGTACACTTTGCCTTGGATATTTTAGGTAAGGTTCTTCAGTCAAAATTTGACATTTGGACATTTTGAAAACACATTCTAAAAATTGCAGTTGCATACCTTATGTTTGCAGTCTGCCAAATTTGTTGGTAAAAAATACCTTCCCCCCTGCAGGCCCAGGGGGGTAGTGGAGTCTTTGCTGAATACTACTATCCTTCTTCATTGGCTTGGTTTCTCACAGGGAGCCTACCAAATCTGGTTCACGCTTCCATTCCCTCATGGCCTTCACTCTCAAACCTAGATCCCTAATCCTCATCTCCCCCTTTCTCTTCATTTTGAGCATGTTTGAATAAGCCTTTACATAATCCTAAGTTTCAAGACCCAAAGCTAGTTTGCTTTATTTTTTCTTGTTTGGATAAATTATGTTAACTCTAACCCAAGTTATCTCATAAGCTTCTAGCTTTTTCAGCTGGGTTGCGTTGTATTATGCCTGTTGTTCTTGTTTTAGCCTTGGCCCTTTGTGCGTGCCAATATGGCTCCTTCCAAGCTTCCTTCGTGCTTATTATTTTTACTATTTTTAATTTATATATCTATATAAATAAAATTGAATTTATCAAATTTTTATTATTGAATAGACCTAATCATATATCATATACAATTTATAAACTTTATATTCCCTCCATTAAAAAATGTAAGGTATTTTTAACCGAGTCTCACCCTTCAATAAAGTAGTTACCTACATTCAAAATAACCCTATCTTTCCATATTTACCCTCATTAAACACCTTACAATAAATATAACGTAATTATTAATAGGGGCAGTTTAAAAAAAAAGGCAATAATTACACCTTGAAATACTAAAAATGCTTTACATTTTTAAACATCCAACTTTTCAAAAAATGTTTTACATTTTTGCACGGAGGGAGTAATATTTATTTGTAATTTTAAATTTTAATATTTTTTACTTTTAAAAGAGATTGAATTATATTTGCACATACATGTGAGTGTATATATCATATAATTCATGTCATTTTCAATCATTATACATCCAAACATGCTTTTGAATTATATCATCCCAACAAGTTTTAATTTGTCAACTTGGCTTTTTTGAAAAGAGTATCAAAATATAAATCATATTACAGTAACCATTTTTTACCCCAACTTCAGTTTATGAAAACTTAAGTTGTACAAGTTCTAATCCAAGCACACACTACAACCACACCATCCTCTGCCCTCCTCGCCTTCAATCACACAAGTTAATCATATAATTCTTGTTTATTTTGTAAAGCATGTTGAATTCCACAATTCCTGTAGCACATGAAGCCAGAATTTATTATTAAAATTTGAAATCGTCTCTTTTCCTTGCAAATGATCTTAGACCTGCTTTGAAGGATATACAAGGATATGTTATTGCTGCTATTATATTATATTATAATGTCTGAAACAACAAACAAAATATGAGTGCTGCAACCCCCTACTCGACTTTGAGGGATAGGGTAGGGAGAGTGGATTTTTAGAAAACATTTTAATGGCAATCTAACACCATTAGTGGTGTGTTAATAATTAAGATAAGGTGTTAAGCAAAAGTCCATATGCCAAATTTTGATCAGGGAACCATAGTCATTAGTGTGTAAGTTTTCTCCTATTGGGTGCATACCTACATTACTGATATTATGATTGATTTTTCTACCTTAGGCAATGAATGGGCAATATCTTTGCAATCGTCAAATAACAGTATCTTATGCTTACAAGAAAGACACCAAAGGGGAGAGGCATGGCACTCCAGCAGGTGGGTCATTTTCCTGCATAGATCTATTTCTTTTGTTGAATTATCTGCTTATAGCTTTTGTGATGCAGAAAGAGTTTTGGCTGCCAGCAACCCAACTGCCCAGAAGAGCAGGCCTCACACTTTGTTTGCCAGCGGACCTCCAACACTTCCCAATGTTCCTCAGGCTAATGGTGCCATTGCTGCACCTGTGCCTCCTCGTCCCTATGCTAATGGTGTCGCTCCCCCTGTTATTCCCACCCTTCGACCTCCACCTTCGCAAGCTTCACCATTTCCACCTATGCCAGTAGCCCCTCAACCACCATGGCATCAACAACAACCAGGTCAGACAATGCCACCACCTGGGATGCCTTCTCCTGTCCAGCAGTTCAGGCCACCTCACTCGAATATGCCACCCCCTCCACCTCCGCAAGCAGTGCCTGCTCCCCCAAGGCCTCTTCCACCACCAGCTGCAATGACAGGCCAACAACCTGTTTGGCGGCCACCACCACCCCCTCCACCTCAGCAACAGGGTCTGCGGCCCCCTCCATTTCCTCAATCCTCCATGCCACCACCACCACCTCCAAATTGAAGAGATCCCATCCCCCGTTTGATTTGTTAAGTGTAGGATGTTCCTTGACTACTACGGGAAAGATCTTGTACTCAACAGAAGAGTTTGATTTTTGGTTTATTCCATATAATATCCATATTCTATTTCCATGTAGTATTTCTCATGCATGGGTCTCAACCTCCGTAGTTTGCCGCTGAAATCTCCGACAGTGATAACTAGTTGGATTCTTGCTTTATGTAAAAAAACTTCTAGCGAAATCAACTGTCACATGTTAAGTTAAACTGCGAATGATTTTTTTTTTTTTTTTTCAAAGAAAGGTATGTCAATGCTGATAGAAGACGATTTAAGTAATCATTTACAATAGAGTATAAAATGTATTGAATTGGACCAGCAGATCCAGTTTGAAATTGAGGGGAAACTGGGATGGGATCAACAACTGGGGTCAAATTGGAGGAAACTAATTGATCTAGGAGTTGAGAGCTGATTTAAAACTGATAGAATTGGTTATGAACTAGTTGAGCTAGTAAAAATTGGTGAATTGGTTCCGTATTACTGGTGAGATTAGAACATCCTGTGTTGTTTAAGAACTGTTTTATTATGGGAAGGGGATATTTTTAGTTTTTATCTTCCTTTACCATTTTGGGGTGAAATTTTCTGGTTCAGGCATGTGGCGATAAACATTGAAGGATGGCCCATCCTCTTTCTGGGCTGATTCAATTGTGCGAGATATACGTAAGGAAGTATCATGTCTAACAGCTAAATATATAACGAGACTTGAGAAAGGATTTTATCTCTGATATGATTTTGTGACCCTTGCACTATGCATAGCTTGGTAGTGTAGCAATTCTTGTACATCGCAATCATCAAATAGGGAAGTTCTGCGATAAATGTTACTATATAGATGTATGTACAAATGATAAATTCTTGCGTGGATCTGGTACACTAAATTATCCATGTTTCATCTAATAAAATTGTTTTAATTCAATCTAATAAAATCTGACATGTCATTGTTTTTAGGATAGAATACTTATTTAATTTCTTTTCTCTCTTTACTATCTCTTGTTATTGAATGGAGCATGAATGGTATGATGCACCAAGTCCAAGTAAGAATTTCTCATATGGAGTTACCCTTTAAGCACTAGGCACGGCACTTTCTTTTTCTTACTACCATTATGAAAACATGCAACCCACTATTCACAACTGCCATTTTATAAATTGTATTTAAAATAAATATTTTAGGGGAAAGTTATAGATAAGTTCTGGGTAAGAAAATTAATTACATGTTCCTAGAAGACTTATGAAAAAACATGCTCGATGAGTTATGAATTTTCAAATAAGAGAACTTGTATTAAAAAAAAAAAAATTCTTAGTTACAACCCTAAACCACAAAATCCCCCGGGGGGGGCGTTGGTTAGAAATTTATATTTTGCAGTTTTTACGAAGTTTTCTACGCGACTGATAAGGGATTAACTGGAATAATCAATTTTGTTGCCTAAGGACTCACCAGTAATTTTCACATATTTAGGGCCAAAGAATTTTTAACTTGGCTTTATTGAATTAATTGGGCTTTACAGAAAACCATTGGGCATGCCCAAATATAAATACGAAAATAGGCCTAATAACTTGCCATGCATGTGTATTAGAAAATAGTTGTGTCTGGCAGAAAGGCTAGCCTTTTACAATATGATAAATTAATGTTTAAATACACATTTAAAGAGATGTCAATATTTAGTGGCTGATTGTATTTTAAAAATAATTGCCCCTAATAAGAGGATATTCATTGGTAGAGCCACATTAGACTAAGGGCGTACAAATCAGACTCCTCATTTTCATAAAAATCACAAGATAAATAAATTTTGCGAATTTGCATCTTTTATTCTTGATATGTTTCATTCTCTGGATTAAATAAAAAATATTTGAGCTCCAAAACTAATTAATATGTAATATTTTGATAATTAATATAAGATATTAATAGTATATTTACGTAAAAACTATATCAACCTGCTGGATATAATTTTTTTTTAAATGGTGATCAATGTAATAAATGTTAGTTCTACTGTAACTGTTTTTTAAAAAATTACTTTTTAGTAGATTATCCTGCACCCGCTGACTCTAGGTTCTAGCTTTGCTACTAAGGGTATAGTATAACACACATTTTCAATCATTTTCATCGGTGGTTGTAAATTTTGGATGAGTAACTTCCATTTTTAATCATTTTCATTAATTATTGTAAATTTTGCATGACTTACTCCCACACACTCTCATTTTCATTACTTGTTATAAATTTTGGATGAGTAATTAACTTCCATTTTCAATCATTTTCATTAACTGTTATAAATTTTGGATAAATTATTGTTAATATTTGAATAATCACTTGTTAATATTTAAATATGGCTTATTAATATTTAAAAAAATTGTCAATTTTCAAAGACCAACTCGTTTGATTTTTTTATAAATTGTTCCTTCGAGGTGGCCAATGTTATGCTAAATAAAAAATATATATGATATAAATTTAGTTTACAAGCATTTTTACGGGCTTTTATTAATTATGAACAAGTTGTTATTAATATTGAAAAAATCACTTGTCAATATTGGAACATAACTTCTCCAAATTTACGCCAATAAGGCAATGGACAATAAGAAATCCTCTAGTAAAAACTAGCAAGATTATCCGGAAGGATGAATCTCAATCTATTTTCATGTCTGATATAATGATTCCCTTGTAGGGCACGTGATATCATCGCAAACATTGGGTTTAGAGTTTCGAGAATAACAGTAAAGAAAATGTGTTTACAAAAAAATAAAGAAAATAAGTAACCATCGGTTGTACAATAATTAGGAAGGTTAATAGTTTGGAGAATACTAATTGAAATTGGATCTTGCCTTCAATAAACAAATAATTCTGAAACTATGTGGTTCTTTGATGTTGCTTTTTCGATAGATCTTTTTTTAAAAAAAAAAAAAACCCTTCGGCACTCATGTTTAAAATGATAGTACATAAAATGATTAAGGCAAGGCTTTAACCGCTGGACAACAAAATGAGAAGAACAATTTCAAATTTGTCAGTTTCTGCAAGTGCCTTTGTCCATCATATTTCATTATACGTCTTCATATTTGTGTATCTAAATGCTTCATCTTGTTATGGGAAGGAACTAAAGAGTGTATTTCACAAATTAAGATCATGTAAGGGGGAACAATTGATTCAACCCTTAGTAAAATGGCAAAGATCATTTGATACATTTTGTTAATACTTTTCTTCCCACTAAATTAGAAACTAAACAACAAAAAGAGCTAAGCAAAAAAAAGGTGTGTTACTATCTAGATTATAAGACATACAATTCTGCATACCAAATAAACATTACTACAGTAATCCAAAATTGACATTGAACTTAATGGTAATAACTAATAAGAAGCAAGCGAGGTACTGAGACAGCATTTAAACTTCATAATCGATAGAATAGATTATCGACATATTTCAGCAATAACGGATGTGCATAATTCCTAGATCATATGATCAAAGTCATTTATTATTCTCAACATAATTTAGTCTGCTCATGATCTGTCGGTACCCATCAAAACTAAATTAGCAACTTATCAAAAAAAAGAAAATCCGCAAAACCTTGTTGTTAGTGAAACTTCGAAGCCACGTACAAATAAAAACACCTAAAAGAACCAAAAAAATAAAACTATATAAAGATACCTCTCACATGAAAAAGTTCTCGTGTATATAGATTTTCTAATATAAATCAGAATTACAAGTTAGGGAAAATATCATTCAAGGACCATGGAAGCAATTTAATATCAAACAAGGACTAAAATATTTTGAAATATCACTGCAATACAAGGGAATTAATTTGAAAATAATTTTAGATGGAAAAATATTATAATATCCTTGATTTTCTTTTTCTTTTTTAAACTTGTCAATTAGCAAATATTTTCTTATTACATGTGAATGGCTACATGTTGAAATATGATTTACACTTGTCCATTCTTACAATCAAGTTCTTTTAAATTATTGAACTTGTCAATTAGCAAATGACTTCTTGTTAATTAAATGCAAATGGCCACTTGTTGAAACATAATCTATATTGGTCCCTTCCCAGCACAAGTTCTTTCAGATTATTAAACTTATCAATTGACGAATGACTTCTTGTTAAATGAGACTGTGTACTTTTTAATTAGCGAATGGCTGTTTGTTGAAATATGATCTACACTTGTCCTTTTATACAATCAAGTTCTTTCAAATTTTCAAACTTATCAATTAACGTCTTCTTGTTAAATGCGAATGGATACTTGTTAATTAATAAATGACTACTTGTTGAAACATGACCTACACTTGTCCCTTCCCACAACTATGTTCTTTTAGATTATTGAACTTGTTAATTAGTTAATGGCTTCTTATTAAATGCCAATAGGTACTTGTTATTTAACGAATGGTTACTTATTGAAACATGATCTACAATTATCCCTTTCCATTACCAAGGTTTTTTTTAGATTCTTGAACTTGTCAATTAGCGAATGACATCTTATTAAATGTGAATGGATACTTATTAATTTATGAATGGCTACTTGCCAATTAAAAAAAGAAAGGCAGGGTATTATATTCTTTTTCCATCTAAAATTATTTTTAAATCAATTCCTTGGTCGATATTTTGAAATATTTTGATCTTTAATTGATATTAAATACCATCAATGGTTGTTGAATGATATTTTCCCTACAAGTTATTGTACATAAATTATATAAGGTCTCCATTATTTTTTTCATGATGAACCACCAAGATTCACTTTATCTAGTGCATGGGGAAGGAAATCTTTTTGCCATAGTGAAAAAGTAAAAAAAAAAAATCTTATACCAATAGGAAGAAGAAAAAGGATCATAAATCCTTTTCCATATATGTATTCATATTCTTCATATTGACTCAACTATCACATATCCAATTAAAATAGTGTTAGAATCAACCCTAAAAGTAGTAAAGGGTCAACCTAGGTCATCTCCTTAGTGAGCGGCTAATGTCTAATCTTTAACTATGAGGTTAACTAGTGAAATAAGTGAATTAAGTGTTAGGATTGATTTTTTAATTACCTACAAGTAACAAAATACTAAGCTAAAGTGAGTGTGTAAAAAATTCCTTTAAAGAGTTGGAACTCTAGAG